CAAAAAAGTGGCATGAGTTTTAAGCAACGGCCAAAAAACAGTGAAGAGAGAGAGAGATTACACTTACACTTACACAAACACAAAGTGCTGGAATTTGCACTTTGCCGTAGAAATCTTTGCAGCAGCAGTGTCGCCAGCAGTAGTCGTAGTTAGTGTCCGACCATTGTCGGCGCCCGACTGAAGGTCATTTCTATTAAAGTCGACCATAAAAAAGTGCATAATATTTGTAAAAATTATTTTCAAAGATTAGATAGCATGCTTGATGGGGTTATCGATTGAGTGAGAAGGAAGAGGGGGAAGAGGAGGAGGAGGTGACTTTGCAAAAATACAATAATAAAAAACATGAAAACGGCAAACAGATAGGAGGTCTTTTTATAAATAAATTTTCAATTTTTTGCTGAAAACAGCACATCATTTTCATCAACAGTGTAGGGTGACCTTGTTTTTAAGCAGTAAACTTTTTTCACAAAAAAAACTTTTTAGTATCGATGAACTGTTAGCTACTAGTTAGCAAAAAACTAACTAGCAAAAAATATAGTGCACTGACAGTTGCCTAATTTTGAGCAACTGCAAAAAATGGCTTTAGGAAAAAATGTAAGAAACAGAAAAGTAGTGGCAAATTTTTTTCACATTTCTCAAACGATGATTGCTCGAGTGAGGTGAGTTAATTTGAAGACCAATTAGAAAAAACAACAAAAAATGTACTTTGCGTCCACTAAAGAAAAGTACATCAGATACCGGTGAGGATGGCTTGGTCGGTGGTTGTCGAAAGAGGCCAACTCGGTGATAGGATGATGATGAATGGTGGTGAGTGCACAGATAGAGGTGATGTGATAGAAAGATGAGAAGAAGAGGAGAGGAACGGATGGGAAAGTGTCCAGCAATTTTTGTTTGAGTTAGTAACTGACCGCCGGTGTATCGCTTGGATGCTCTTCCGATCTGATCCAAAAGAAGGGGAGAGTAGCAGGAACTGACTAGAACTGGCTCACACGCAAGCACTCGCTCAAAGGGTAACGTGAAAAAAAGTGGAATACAAAAATAGTTGACGTCAGGCAGAGAGACAGACGGGGAGAGACAGTACATGAGCACTGATGCACTCTCTCTCTCTCTCTCTCTCTCTCTCTCTCTCTCTCTCTCTGCTCACTTTATCACATTAGGCGGTCATTGATGCGGCACTGCGGCAGTAGCGGATAAACACAACCAACAACTGTCGTCCTCCGAAGCATCTAGTTCAGAAGGAGTGCAGATGCAGATTTTTGCTGATCTCTATCCAAAAGAAGGGGTTTTATCGCTAAAATCAAGGGGGTGGAAAAGAGGAAAAGGCAGAAAGTGGAAGAAGGGGAAATTGGCCATTTATACCGTAAACATGGCAATTAGCAAAAATTGGTAAACACTACTTCAGAAGTAGTTAGTGCTTTTTCAGCCAAAAAGCGATGGAAACAATATTGTTGATGTTATCGAGAAAAAGGAAGAAAATTATTACATCAGCTGCTGTTGATGGCGTTTTTACCAGCTAACACTGAAAAATACAGATGAAATCTACGGCCACCTCAGTGTTTAGGTGCATTTTGACTATGCACTTGAGTGAGACACCGATAAACTGTTTTTCCTTTGCACTTGAGTTTTCAGCAGAAAACAGAAACAACAACAACAACAACAACAGCGGCATCATCATCATCATCCCCGACAAATCAATTTCCCCACTATGCCAATCACGAACCCATTTTAAACTAAATCCCCAAAATTAGAATGTTTTTGCTAGGCGTTTCATGTTCTAATAAGTGGCCACCTCCCTCGCACTTGCCATCTTCTCTCTCTCTCTCTCTTTCTTTCTTTCTACCCCAGGTGCATTACATGAAATGGCACTCACGAACTCTGGCAGAAGAAGGAAATCTATTTCAGTAGTGGTAACAGTGCGAGGACAGGGGCAGTAGCACCGAACGAAAAAAAGGCACCTGTTTACCTCAAAATTTGTGTGCTGTGAGTGTGAGTGTGCTGTGAGTACTTTGAAATAGAATAATTTTTTCATCATGACACGACGGTAAAGTATAAAATTCCCAACAAGCAAAAACGATATTAGTTTGACTGTAAATGAGCTCCCGTCGGTAAGGGTGATAAAGAAGAGAAGAGAAACAAACATGTTTGTTTTTAGAAATCGCAAATTGAAGCGATTTTTTCTTTCTTTCTTTCCTTTTTCTCCCCCTCTCTCCAACACCGCCATTACACTGCCTGCAGGCTTTGCTTTAAAAGTACTACCCTTTCGTGAGGAGGCAAAGTGGCAACTGTTGTTCCTGATGGTGCTGTTGCTGCTGCCTTTACACAACACACATCACCAGCCCTTGATCGACAATGTGTTTTGAATAAAAAAGAGTAAACAGTTCTCGAAAATCTAGACCTGTAGTAATCAAATGAGTGAATAACAACAACCACCAAACACAAGTAAAGTGGTAGCCATCCACCTTGGCATTTTGCAGCAGCCCAGTTTTCTCTTTCACCACCACTAACAACAACAATTTTTGTCCTCGGCAGGTGCTCTTTTTGGATACCTGGATGAAAAACAAAAAAAGAAAAACTACCAGCTATACTAACCACACTCATTTGAAATTGGAAATGGAAAAAAATGAATAACAAAATGCGACAAAAAATACACACCAGGTAAATGTACGCAAAAAGCAATTTACCTTTTTTGTTGTTTTTACTCCACAAACTAAAAAAGTGCTGCCGAGCGAGAGAAACTTTGTAAAAGTTTTCAATATTTTTTAAATTAGTAAACGTTTTAGTTTTTTTGTTGTCGCTCTTGTTAAGGGTACATTAAGCACGTCGAGGTAAAAAGTATAACAACAACAATAAATATTGTTGCTAGACAGTGAGCCTGGTGAAACATCAATCACCCATTTTTCTTCAGCCTATTGGCAATATATGAAAATTGGCCGCTTCATGAAAGAATGAATAAAGTGTATAAAATAAATATAAAATGTCAAAACTTGCTCTTTATAAATCTATTACAATATTTAATTGCATTAGTTCCAAGTAATAAAAAATTTAAAATTTGCCTACATTTAAATTATAAACTCTAGTACCACTACTCTTCTGCCGCTGTGTATAATTCGTCAAAATGAGCTGTTCAGGGTGATTGCCATCGATTAAAGTTGGGAGACGCTACATACGCTGCTGCTGCTGCATGCATCACAAGGAGAACTCCATTGGCTGCTTCAGGTTAATGATGAAGAAAAGTAGAGTACTGGTGGATTTAGCCTGCTGGATAATGATATTAGACTAATGGAAAAGTAAGGCAAAATATGGCTGCAAAATATGGCATTGCTAATTGGCAAGTGATACCTTACCTTTTTTGTCCAATTGCGTGCCGTTTCCTGGAAATGAAATAACAAAGCCACAAAAAAACAGAAAAGTAGTGTGTGTGTGGACTCAAAAGTGCTGCCTGATTGTAGTGTCTATAAATATTGACAGAAAAACCTATACACAAACAGAAAATTTTAGCAATTTCAGTTGTTTCCACAATAAAAAGCCAAATGCAATGAATGGTAATTAAGGAGGAAACTTTAATTGCAGCTGGTGCTTTATGTTTGTTTTATGTTCTAGTGCAACTCACCAACACCACCACCACCACCGCCGCAAACACTGGTTTTCATTACCAGTCTGTTGTTCAGTTCAACATTGATGTCACACAGAGTGCCGACTGGTAAAATACTGCTCACTTTTGACGGTATAAGCGCAGTGCAGGTGAGGGAGAGTGCAAGTGAATCAAAAGACTGGTCCATTTCCCCGGTGATGACGGCAATATCAGGTGAGATGCACACGCTGTGTAGCCAGGTGCAACTGAACTGAGCATTCACCGCCGCGCCACATTAATGGACAATGACATCATGGCGGGAAATTGGTGGCATTCCATTCCATTTGAGAGATTTGTTGCATTTGCGCCTTTTCGAGCTTTTTTGCTACTCAAACGCTGACTGAAACGCCATCTTCTGCCTTGCCTTGTAAATGCCGTTCAGCTGTTGATTTTCTGACTTGCTTGAAGCAAAATGACCAAAATCCACAACAGAGGTGGGAATCGTGTCCACTTTTCCGCTGTAGCTACACAGCCAACGTTACGCGCCCTCTAGCCTTGGCAGTGTAGCTACAGCGGAAAAGTGGACACGATTCCCACCCCTGATCCACAACTCTTTGATGCGATAATAATTTTCGGTCTTTATGATACTCATGAGAAACTTGATCTATATTTGCCCGTTCACAATTTGCCCGACAACTCGATGAATTGTTTAGATGTTGCATCGAATGTTGCTGTTTTAATCAGACTCTTCTGATTTAGCTGTTGAAGATGACAAAAGAAGTGCAAGCGTTCTCAAATTGTCCTCATCTACTGCAGCTGACAAGTGACACTGGTAATCGTTCAAGGTTTCATATTTTAGAGCAAAATAGACAAAACAGTCATGTACCTTATCAAAAGAAAATATCGAACCGATGCAAAGTTGAGAGAAAGACGACGCTTATCACGTAGAAAGTACAGAGTAGAAACACAGTTGCTGATACTGATAAAAGTTCGGATAGGCAAAATGTGCTTGGCCACGATTGACAACTCGCAAAAATGTAAATATAAAGCCGAGAGCTCGGCAATGGTTCAGAAAAGAAGATTATTTTACTTTTTGCACCCTGATGGAAGGGACAACTTTGCCTGACTGGACTCTCTGGAGAGTCGTCTACATTGGAGTTCTCTTCGCTTTGTCGTATCTTCTGTGGCGGTTGGCTCTGCTGATAAAGGCAGAACTTCGCATTGCCTACTGGCATCGGAAGATTCCCGCACCTCCACTGATCACTTGGATGTCGAGGATAGTCGGTGCCCCACTGTTTGACTTCTACCCGAGCGTAGCACATTTCGTCAGCGTTGAAAAGTGTAAGCCAGCTGATTTGCCATTCTGAAAAGTATCAACGATGTTCTGTTAACCCTGTAAACAACAGTTTTCACCCAGTCACTGAATGGAATGAACGAGGTTCACAGCGCAAGTGAGGCAGGAATCACTCGCGTTCGCTTTGGTGTGAAGCGGTACGTCAATCTGTTCCGCTGGGAAACGGTGGAGCCGCTCATCACCAGTCTGGAGAATATCAGCAAGTCCGATCAGTATGACTACTTTCTACCATGGCTCGGCACCGGATTGCTCACCAGGTTTGTGTGTTCTGGTGTTCACCCTTTTCAGCAAAAACTCTAAAACTTTTTACAACGCCCCACAGCACCGGTGGACAGTGGAAGCGACATCGCCGCCTTCTGACGCCTGCATTTCATTTCAAGATTCTCGACTCTTTTATGCCAATAATGAATGAGAACACGGCAAAACTGGTGAACATCATTGGGCAGCACAAGGGCGAGGCAGTGGACATACGAGAGCTTATTGGCAGCTGTACTCTGGACATTATTTGTGGTAAGAAAGCTAACGTGTGTAGTTTTGAATTTTGTTGTACAATTTTTCATCCTATTAGAAACTGCAATGGGCGTCTCCATTGGCGCACAATCGGGCAACGTGGAGTACTCTGGGCCACTGGAAATTGTTCAGAATCTGATCATGACACGGACCCTCAATCCGCTCCATCAAAGTGACTTGGTCTACGCGTTCACTCCACAGGGCAGAAAGTACAAGGCCAATTTGAAAATTATTCATCGATTCATCGACCAGGTAATTGCCAATCGACGTGACGAGATGGAGAGCCTTATTAGAGAGAAGAAAGTCAACGTCCATCAGCTGGCAAGTGATGACTTGGGGGTGATTACCGAAAAGAAGCGATACGCCTTCCTCGATTCACTCCTGGTGACGCACTTTCAAAATAAAGCCAACTTTACGGAGAAGAACATCAAAGATGAGGTGAACACGTTCATGTTTGAAGGGTGAGTGATCGGATAATCATTGCATTTTCAGTTGTAATTTTCAAACTTACATTCGCAGTCATGACACTACTGCGACATCTTTAATTTTCACCCTTTTACTGGTGGCCGGAGATGAACGAGTTCAGGTAACTAGGTCTAGAATGATTAGTGACTTTGTTTGATGGAGCTGTTCCATTTTTGACAGGATAAAATAAACGAGGAGCTCAGTGCTGTTTTTGGCAATGATCACAGCCGACATGTGACCATCGACGACTGTCGTCAGCTTCGATATCTTGATCTGGTGATAAGAGAATCATTGCGTCTCTATCCGAGTGGTGAGAATTAATTAGCACACACTTCATGACATCACATTTTATTTTTGTTTGTTTGTTCCAGTCCCCTTCATCGGTCGTGAAACAACTCAGGACTTTATGATCAAAAATTACCGAATTCCGGCGGGTTGCACCTGTCTGATATACATCTATCTGATGAATAGGGACAAAAGAGTTTTTGAAAAGCCTGAAAAGTTGGTTTGGATTCTTGTTTTGAATTGCAGAATTTAATCTATGAAACCTTGTTACCTAGGTTTATACCTGAGCGGTTTCTTCCAGGTGACTCCCCGGTGAACAAGCTACCCTACTCATATTTGCCATTCTCAGCTGGATCTCGCTCGTGCATTGGACAGCGGTAAAGTACAAATGAAGTGTTTCCGTTTTTAATTTTTTTAATACTTTGCCCAAATTAGATTTGCTATGCTCGAAATGAAGACCGTTTTGGCGACTGTTCTACGCCAGTACAGGCTCACTGCAGTGACCAAACGTGATCAGGTGGACGTAGAGTTTGTAGTACTGCTCAAAACTCATTCACCTGTTTGCATTAGTTTTGAGAAACGCCATCAATAGAGATTGATAACAAAAATTAATTTGTCAGTGCTAGTTTTTTGTTGCAAGTACGAGACAAGTATAAAAGAGCACAAACTTGTTGTCGAATTTATATAATGATGACGCCCGTGAGGAGCTTGTGACATCAAAACAGCATTCATTGACTCATCAGGGACAACTTTAAAACAAGTCCTCAAATTGTCCGTCAGTGTCTGTTGATAAAAAGTGAATGCCAGCATTGCGTGTTCGTGATTCAGCGCTGTCCTGTGCAATGTACCAGCGTTGAACCGTGTTAAAAGAAAATATTAGTTTTCACGGAAAGATGATCAACACAAAACACGCTTTTGCTGTTGTTTTTGCTGCCTTTTTTCAAGTGAAAACATCCCTACAACCCCTAAAATCCATCAGTTTCTCTCTCTCTCTGCACTCACTCTTTTGACTCTAGAAAAAAAGCTATTGATGCTATTGAAATACGGTTTTCACCAGTAGATCAAACTAAATGGCATCTTTCTAATGATACTAANAGTTTAAAAATAAACTAGTTAGATAAATTCTGCAAAAAGCAAAACCGGCTTTTTGTTAAAACAAAAAGGTTAAAAGTTTTCAAATTAATTTCAAAAAGTAGTCTTTACAACAAAAAATGCAGACACCATTTCCTGGAACGGAGCAACACCCTGATAGCATAAAAGGATAAAAAGAGGTGCTGACAATCACACGCACAGAGACAGGGAGAATTAGCCTTTCCCCGCCTGACTGCCAGACGGCTTCGATGCCGTCTTTGAGCGCGAGCGTGATTTGAGCTTCTTGGCGCCCTTGCTGATCGCCTGGTCGATCTTCGAGTAGTCGAGGGGCTGCAAGGCGGTGTCCATCTTCACCAGCTTGGGCTGCGGTGGAGCTTTCTTTGAAGTGGGCGTCGGCGTGGGCGTCGGTCGTGGCACCTTCTTCTTTGACATGGTCTGTGTGCGAGAGAGCGGTCTCTTCTTGGTGGTGGTGGTCCGCCCGGTGGAGGATCGCTTCTTGACGGTGGCCGCGTTGACGTTCCGCTTGATGAAGCTCGGTTTCTGACTGCCGCTGGCCTTGGCCATCGTTGACCGTCGTCGCTTGGAGCCGGAGCGCCGCTTCAGCGTACTGGCGCTCTTCGCCTTCTGCTTCATCATCATCTTGGTGGACTGCACGGCCTTGCCGGCCTTCTTCCCGCTGGTGCTTCCTTTGCCGCCTTCTTTACCCTTGCCTTTGCCCTTGCTCTTTCCTCCTCCTCCACTTTTTCCTTTTTTACTGCCGTCGTCGATGCCTGCCTCCTTGCCGCAGTACTGCACGGCCACGTAGCCGATGATGGCGCCGCAGCAGCACAGCAGAATGACCACCACAATGCCGATGACAAGGCCGGCGCTACTGTTGCCTGCCGCCACGTGGTCAGTCGGATTCGGGTCCTTCGTAGGCGGTACGTTGTCAGTGAAGTTCTCAACGGACATGGTCCAAAGGTGCAAAGGTAGAGGTTTTTACTTTTGGAAAACAAAAAAAGTGCAACGTGTTTTAGGTGTTTTTTGTTAGCGTGAAAAGGCGTCATTCTTATATTTTTTACAAGAATCAAATTTTAGAACATTTTAACAATTCTAAAAAAGCATCTATTTTTAATATATTCAGTCAATTAATTAGCACTTGCACAAATTAGGAAATGTATTTTTAGCTGATTTAATCAGAAAAAGGGGATAAATTGTTTAGGGTGAAAGGGGGTAGTAGCACTAGAAGAGGTAAATGTGTTGGTGGTGGTGGTTGTGGTGGTGATCTTTTAATCATCCGACGGTGACCACTGTTTGTTTGTTTTGTTGCACAAGTTGAACAGCCCTTTGATCTGTCAGTGTGAGTTGGTAGAAGGAGAACGTAATGCACGCTCCAGGCTGTCTCTCATCAGGGCGCCCTTTGGTGGTTTACACAACTTTAGTTGCTGTGAACGAAACTTGAACGGGCACTCCTCACCCAACGCATAACATCCTCACTTTCCTTCTCTTTCTTTCTCTTTTTCTCTCTTCGATAGACTCATATCATTGTCGTACAGACGACAGCCGTTGCTTTCTTTGGAGGTAAGCCAAGAAAAGGGCTCCCCAAACAGACAGCCACCACTTCCCGTCAGTAGTCAATCAATGTTGATGCATTGAGAAGACTGAAGAGAAGGATGTTCCTCCACTACTGACCGTTTTGAGCAGCTGAGAGAGTACAAACGCTGAGGGTGAGAGTGAGTAAAAGATAAACAGTGACTAATCACAGTAAAGACCAATCAAGGTGATGATCGATCAACAAGGTGAGCGCTAATAATGATCAAAGAAAGGTGTCTGCACAGTTGCCAAGTGAAAGTACTTTTATTATTTAGCATCACCTCATCAAAGATCACATGTGATGATCGAGTAGGTAATAGTAGTAAATGGTAGTAAACAAAAAGTAAAAAAAGAGAGAAAGAAGGCAATCTAATCTATCAATGTGTGCCAGTTAGTTGCAAACTGTCGGGGAAAAAATGTTTTTCGGCACACTAAAAAAGCCAGAGAGAGGTATCTTACTGATAATAAGAATGAAGGTCTACTCAACTGACTTTGTTGAAGAAGGACAGAAAGTGCAGACGCCAAACACAAAGTAGGAGGTTCACACTGCCTACTTTGTCTGACTGTCTAGTGAGGGTGGTGATGCTAATTGCGGAAAATGTGTGGGCATTTTTCTGTGATTATCTTCAACTGGTGCCATGGCAGTGAGGCATGGCTGTGTGCTGTCTGTAGTGACAGTTGCGAGATTCTCAGCTGCCATATATAACTGACGGCAAATTTTATTTTGATCGTCCAGACAGTTTTGCTCAGTCGATCAGTGGTAACTGTTCATCTGATTTGCTAATTAACTACTCTACTATCACACCATGTCACTCATTACCCTGCTGAGCCCTTTGGCGGCCGCCACGAGTTGNATGTGTGGGCATTTTTCTGTGATTATCTTCAACTGGTGCCATGGCAGTGAGGCATGGCTGTGTGCTGTCTGTAGTGACAGTTGCGAGATTCTCAGCTGCCATATATAACTGACGGCAAATTTTATTTTGATCGTCCAGACAGTTTTGCTCAGTCGATCAGTGGTAACTGTTCATCTGATTTGCTAATTAACTACTCTACTATCACACCATGTCACTCATTACCCTGCTGAGCCCTTTGGCGGCCGCCACGAGTTGGATTGCGCTGAAATGCGCCGCCTCACCCGTTGCCAGCGCCGCTGCTTTCGGCTTGATCAGCTACCTCCTCTGGCAAGCGGTGCCCATCCTGCAAGAGCGGAAACGCCAAACGAAGCAGTACAATAAAATGCCCGGCATTGGGCCGATCACCTTTCTCGGGTACATCCTGGGCAACATTGAGATCTACTATCTGTACATGTTCCACCTGAACCGCGAGAAGGCCGTCACGCAGCTGCTGGGTGCCTTCTACAACATCAAGGATTTCGCAATAAACGGCATTGCTCGCTTCACCATCGGCCCGGTGCGAATGGTTGCCCTCTTCAAGGCGAGCACAGTCGAGCAGGTGATCAACAGCATGGAGCACATTGAGAAGGCCAATGAGTACAAGGTCTTCAAGCCGTGGCTTGGACTAGGTCTGCTGACAAGGTAAGCAAATGTCAACAGCGCACAGTCAAATAAACATTGGTTTTGTGGTTTCTTAATTGTAGCACCGCCGAAAAGTGGAAAAGACACCGAAAACTGCTGACACCGGCGTTCCACTTTAAAATTTTAGACACATTTTTCCCGGTAATGAACGACAACACCCAGGAGATGATGGCCCGTTTTGATCGCATCGTTGCCAAGGACCAGACTGGCGAACATCGAGGAATCGACATTCGTCAGCTGGTAGGCGATTGCACACTAGACACAATTTGTGGTATGATTCTATAGAGTTATTTAGTTTTCTCAAAACTCTCTAATCTCTGTTTACCCACAAACAGAGACGGCCATGGGTGTACGAGTGGGCGCTCAGTCTGACAAGGGCAACGTCGAGTACATTGGCCCGATCAACAATGCTCTGACGCTGGCCATGAACCGCATCATGGAGCCCTTCTTTCACCCTGACATGATCTACAATGTCACCATTCCGGGAATGCGCAATCGACAGAATCTGAAGAAAATTCACAGTTTTGTTCGTCAGGTGATCAGCAACCGACGAGAGGAGCTGGAGAAGACAATCCGCGAGAAGCAAATTGACGTGAAGAACATTGCCGGCGCCGATGTGGAGACTTTCACCAAGCGGCGATATGCTTTCCTTGACTCACTGCTGCTGGCGCACTTTCAGAATCCAAATGAATTCACAATGAAGGACATTGAGGATGAAGTGAACACGTTCATGTTTGAAGGGTAAGTCGCTTTACCTACTTTGTATGTAAAGCTAAAGCTAATCACATTTGCAACTTTAGCCACGACACGACCAGCATTTCGCTCATCTTCTCACTGCTTCTCTGCGCTGGTGATGCACGAGTTCAGGAGAAGGTGTTTGAAGAAATGGAGTCCATCTTTGCTGACGACCCTCATCGACAGATTACGCTTGAAGACTGTAAAGAGATGAGATACCTCGAAATGGTCATCAAGGAGAGTCTTCGACTGTACCCCAGTGTGGTAAGACTTTAGATGATTTTAACAGTAAGTTTAAAGTTACTAAACTACCATTTATAGCCATTTATTGGGCGAAAGATCAAAACCGAGTTCACAGC